CCGGGAGGGATGAATTCCCATCCCCGGGAATTGCCGGGAGGGATGAATTCCCCGGGAATTGCCGGGAGGGATGAATTCCCATTTCCCGGGAATTACCAGGATGGATGAATTCCCATCCCCGGGAATTGCCGGGCTCCTCCCGCCCCTAATGCGCCGCCAGACGAGCCGTGCCTGGGGCGATTCCTCTGACCTGGTTTAGCAGCTCCACAAAAGCCTCGCCTGAGCCTCCCGGGGAGGTTTTGTGGGATTTTGTGGCATTTTTTGGGATTTTTTTGGGGTGGAAAGGCGCCCCTCCCGCTGCCGGGTTGTGTTTGGGGTGTGTTGTGTGTGGAATCCTGGAATACTCTGAATTTAAGGGATCCCCAGCAATCCCAGCCTGGTTTAAAGTGTTGGCCAAACATTCCTGGGATTTTGGGCTGTGCAGGGATCATCAATCCAACTCCAGGTCCTGCACAGACACCCCAAAAATTCCACCCTGTCTCTGAGAGAGATATCCAAATATTCCTGGGATTTTGGGCTGTGCAGGGATCATCAGTCCAATTCCTGGCCATGAACAAGCATCCCAAAAATCCCTGAGAGAGATATCCAAACCCTCCTGGAGCTCTTGGGGCTGTGCCCATTCCCTGAGGAGCTGTTCCAGTGCCTGAGCACCCTCTGGAAAGGGATAAAAATTCCCAAAATCCATCCTGAACCCCCCCCAGGCACAGCTCCAGCCCTTCCCTTGTGCTGCTCCTCTCTCCCACCCCGAGGAGCTTTTCCAGCTGCATCCAGCTTTTCCTTAGGTTTCCTCATTCCCCCTGGGATCCTGTGGAGCTCAGGGAAGGTTTTCCTGCTCCTCCATCCCTGGGAGCCACGGGACAGCAATTCCAGCAGGGAATTGTGTGCAGCCTGCAGACAGGGATGGATCAAGGGATGGATAAAAGGATGGATTGAGGAGAGACCCCGAGGTTCCCCACCCAATCCCCCCGCCGGTCTGTTGGCTCCACTCCCAACATCTCCCAGCTGCTCTCTGTCAATCCCTGGGATAATCCCTGGGAATAATCCATGGGAATAATCCATGGGAATAATCCNAATAATCCATGGGAATAATCCATGGGAATAATCCCTGTCTGGCCGGTGCTGGAGCAGCCCTGGGCTCCTCACGCCCCCCCGGGCGCTGCAGCAGCGCCAACGCAGCGTTCCCAGCACCCGCCGAAACTGGGATCCCATCCCGGATCCCGGATCCCATCCCGGAGCCCTGATCCCATCCCAGATCCCATCCCGGAGCCCTGATCCCATCCCGGAGCCCTGATCCCATCCCGGAGCCCTGATCCCATCCCGGATCCCGGATCCCATCCCGGATCCCATCCTGGAGCCCTGATCCCATCCCGGATCCCGGATCCCATCCCGGAGCCCTGATCCCATCCCGGATCCCGGAGCCCTGATCCCATCCCGGAGCCCTGATCCCATCCCGGATCCCGGAGCCCTGATCCCATCCCGGATCCCGGAGCCCTGATCCCATCCCGGATCCCGGAGCCCTGATCCCATCCCGGAGCCCTGATCCCATCCCGGATCCCGGATCCCATCCCGGAGCCCTGATCCCATCCCGGATCCCGGAGCCCTGATCCCATCCCGGATCCCGGAGCCCTGATCCCATCCCAGATCCCATCCCGGAGCCCTGATCCCATCCCGGAGCCCTGATCCCATCCCAGATCCCGGAGCCCTGATCCCTGATCCCATCCCGGATCCCTGATCCCATCCCGGATCCCTGATCCCATCCCGGATCCCTGATCCCATCCCGGATCCCTGATCCCATCCCGGATCCCTGATCCCATCCTGGAGCCCTGATCCCATCCTGGAGCCCGGAGCCCTGATCCCATCCCGGATCCCTGATCCCATCCCAGATCCTGGGTCCCATCCCTGATCCTGGGTCCCATCCTGGATCCTGGATCCTCGGTCCCATCCCAGATCCCGGAGCTGATCCCGGATCCCATCCCGGATCCCATCCCGGATCCCATCCCGGATCCCATCCCAGATCCCGGGTCCCATCCCAGATCCCATCCCTGATCCCATCCTGGATCCTATCCCTGATCCCATCCTGGGTCCCATCCCGGATCCTGGATCCTCTGTCCCATCCCTGATCCCATCCTGGATCCCAGGTCCCATCCTGGGTCCCATCCTGGGTCCCTGATCCCATCCTGGGTCCCTGATCCCATCCCGGATCCTGGATCCTATCCCTGATCCCATCCTGGATCCTGGGCCCCATCCCGGATCCTGGGTCCCATCCTGGATCCCATCCCAGATCCCGGATCCCATCCCTGATCCTGGATCCCATCCTGGATCCCATCCCTGATCCCAGATCCCATCCCGGATCCCTGAAGGGCTGAAGCGCCTCCTCCCCAGGGAGCAGGTCATGGGAGCTTGGGGTGGAAAAAGCAATTCCTAATCCCGGG